CATACAAACTTTCATCCCCTATTTACCCCCTTATTGGATGAATTTCGAAAAATGAGAAAAACACGTATTTATTTAATTTTATTAAAAAGCATTAATACCAAGTTTCAAGTTATTCTGATCATAAATATTTTTTGGATTGATCTATTATAACGATAAATAATCCGCGGCAAAAAATAGCCCGTCACTCTCCAGCATCTTGTCATGTCATCTCTACACAAAAAAATCACGTAAATCCGTCACTCCTTTTCGACATGAAATAAAGACAAACAAACAAACACACTTTCACATTTATATTTTAGTATAAAGTATATGGATTATTATATAACTTATTGTTAACAATAAGAGGTGTAAGGTCAACAACCCAATACGCAGGATTTACTTTGTTTTTCATAATTATTTATCAACAACAGTATTATTATTATAGTAATACGTGAACATGTACGCATAATACTTACCCAGTACTCACCCTTATCGTGTTGGAAATTTTGAAGTCATGAAGTTCTCCTTAAGTACTATAGAAAAGAGAAATAATAATCGCAAAGCTAATTTTATGCTTACGGCATTGACCATGATAGATGAGTCAACATTTATCAAAATGCTCGCAAATCCTACCTCTTATGATGAATGCTGCGATTTGTAATACCTAAAATTGTAAAACTAAAAATATATTGTAATTATTTAGAGGTACATTCATTTATTTCAATGACGAGCGGTGAGGCTGCGATGGTATGCAGGATAATTAAATCAAAGCAAAGTCCACATTATTCTGACCTTGAGCAAAGACATTACTATTATAGTTAACATAATATAATATGTATGAATATTGAATATACGGTATTACTATTTTATTTTTGTTCTATTTTCATGTTTAATAGATATCTTATAGTAGTTCTAGCTTTTGCAAAGTGGTAAAACTCGAATGAGTGAATATACATTTATAGATATTAGAAAGAGGAACAATTAACAAAATGGTATTAGGTGTCGTCGACTATGTTCTCACTCTGAGATAAGTATAAGTGTTCCAAATTCGGTATGCTTATAGAGCATTTAACATAAATAGCAAATGTTATAAAACTAAGGTACACCGCGGAGTGTGGACTGTGACTGGAACGGTACTGTGAATGTAAACTAGCAAATTGTCGCCTAATTGGACATGAGACGTGACTGACGCTGCACGTGCGCGTGAGTAAGCCTGCTCTGCCTACGCAACTTCATTTTATATGACAACGCTCAGATTTACACAAATATTTCAATAACCATAAGTATAATAAACTCACAAGTCACATACCACATTCACAATGGTATTGTTTAAACTCGAGATCTTAATTCCAGTCGCTTTACCGTTTTGCTATTTTAATTAGATAAGAGATAAAAACATCCTTTTATTATTTTATTTAATTGCTTTGTCACGTTTGAAGGGATCTTTGTCATAACTAACTAGCATTGCCCGCGGCTCCGCCCGCGTTCGGATGACCAAAAACCAAATTCTTAGGTTTTACATATTAGTATACTTTTACATTGCAGTTTTTGTATTTTTTCTCAGAAATGAGATATTTTCCCGCGGTAAAAAGTATCCTATATGTTGACCTGGAAACCAGCTATCACCATACCAAATTTCATCAAAATCCCTCTTTTCTGTGATACGGTAACAGACAGGCAGACAGACACAAAATTTCTAAAAACTATAGATTCGGCCTCTGTATGGATAATAATGTTTATTTCAATAAGATTTTCCAAAAAATATTTAATGTACAGATTCGATTTAATTACAATTTTATTATACGTATAGATAAATCAAAAAATTATGAAGTTTATGTGGCGTAAATTATCGATGGTCTACAATTAATTATTGGAAAAAATTTAAGAAATCAGATAGAAGTTAACTTCATAGTTCAAATTATTAAAAATACCAGGAAATATCCTTAAACATGCATATAGGAATATTGGAAAAGTAATAGTCGTCAGTTTTCTGATTTATACATAATATAATTAGATTGGCTTTGGACTTGAAAGGTTTCCTTTACGAATGTAACGCACAGGGCGGCTTTAAAACTATCTGTTTTAATATTTATTTGTATCATAAGACGTAATTATTTTGTATTTTAATTAATTGCATCATTCGGCTCTTGCTCCAGTTACCTATTTATTAAACTCGATAAGATTAGACTTGTATATTATGTGGAATATGTGATAAATATTACCCTACATTTTATATTACAAACTAACAAATTAATAATAAGTATATATTATCAGCAATTTCAGTAAAGCAAAGATTTTTTTATGGTCGATCTTAAAACACGTGCAGGCGGATCGTTAAATAAAAACATCAAGTGTCTACTACTAAGACAGAGATGAAAGGACCACATTTATTCACTTGACAAGAACCTCACATATGGCCATGTTATGAGAAACCCACTTAGATTTTTTTTTCCACGATACCGCCATTATATTGGTCTTTATTAAATCATTGTGAAGCTAGTCAATTTTTATTACTTTCTAGTTTCCTTGCGGCTCCGCTCGCGTGATAGGTACGTTAACTCAAAATGAAGCATAAGTTTTAATGTAGAATTTAAGTGAAGTCCAAAAAAACACAACTCACAAATGTTTGATGAAGATATAATATTATTGTGACACCTCCATGTAAAGTTCTAAGAAATTAATTAGATTTCAAAGTTACCTGACACGCCGGGGTGTCCGCGGTCGTGGTGGGATTAAAAATTTCAAACCTACTGAACTTTACTTAAAGCGGCTGTGTTTTTTTAAAAGATTTCGGATGTAAAATCAAGTAACAGACAGGATAAATAGCCTACAGTAATAAAATCCTTGCCATAAAATTTAAAAAGTCGAAAACTTTATTACTTTGCAAACAAAAGACTTTTGTCATAGAACTTGAACCGGCGGGCTTTAATCTGAGCTTTAGCCAATATTAACGTAGGTAGAGCTCGGGAGTCTATGGGTACTATAAAGCAGAGTAATCGGATATTCGTATATTATGAGATAGAAATTTGAACTTATAAATGTCTCGTCATGTTTCTCAGAACCAGCCGAGACGTCGAAAATGATATTCATATAGGATGTAAAATACAATAGGTGTTCATGTTCGAATACCTAATTGCTCTGCCAACGTCTGGCCAGCGTGGTGGTCTATGGCCTAATCCCTCTCATTATGAAGGGAGGCCGATGCCCAGTAGTGGGGCGTTAAAAAAAGGATGAATAGAATACGTATTAAGATTTCTTTCTAAAGCATAATAAAAACATCAAGAAAAAATGTTAGTAGCCTGCCAGATGTAGTACGGCCGATTATGCAAATATTACAGAGGAAGTCAATGGCAATAAGAAATTTAATCAGAAGTCTCAGTAACTTGATATAATATCGTACAGGCGGTGGAGCGGTAAGAAACTGTTTGCCGCTCGTTAACTACCTAGTGCTGGCGACCTTTAAATTGCGTAATCACCGGCAATCAGGCAGAAATTTTGCCCAAAACTACATACTATAATTGTGTAACACTTAATATATTATCGCTGATGCAAGAATACTTGTACTTGATACATAATATATAGAAGCAGAACATTTTTATGTCATCGTATTTATTTAAGTTGTGATAGTGCTGTGACACAACGTCTAAATTAATTATTTATTACCAGCAGAAACCGCGGCTTCGCTCGCGCTAAAACTATAGAAAAAAACTCTTTATAATATTAGTATGGATTCCCTGCCCTATTTATTGATGCCTGAAAATCTTAATGACAATCAAAAAGAAATGTTTTGTTTTCTTTTATATATATATTAAAAAATATGATATGTGTTACTAATATGTTATATGTAGTTTTTCATAGGGAAACAAAAGGTTCATGACACCGGAGTAATATTTATGGATGGGGCTCTAACTACTAGCAAGGTCGGTAGCCTCCTACGACTGACGTTAGTGGGTTGTGCCTGCAGGTGTGTATGCAGGTGAACGTCTAATAATTTTATTTTTGTTATTAGTTTACCAGCCTTATTACCTATCATTGCCTTCATGTCGTTACCTTAACGCAATGCGTTTTGGATATTGTGATATGTACTATGTAAATACTATTAACTTCTTATATTTTATATATTAATCGTTTCAGTCTATCCAAAAATTTAAATTAGAGCCAATGACCCCGTGTGTTATTGGCATGTTAGAGTGAAGGAGAACTTGACAAGTGTGTCGTTCCCATTACGAAATTCAAGCATTCTTGTAGTCGTGCATGGATCTAGTCTGACCGCATCGGTAGACGTCGCCCGCGCTGGCACTGTTCTCTGGTCTCATATATTGACGCGAAAGTGGTTCGCTACTAGTTACTACTATCGTGCATTCCATAGCGAAATGATCGTTAGATACGCAAAAACAAGATATGGCCAAGATTTACGAATCGTGACACTCATTTTCGTTGCTCAAATTGCTTTATTCACACTTTCCAATACCAAGCTTGTGTTGTTTTTGTTTTAAAAGTATTGTTTTAATAAAAGAAAGAAATTTGAAGAATGCAAAGTTTACAGTTTACACAAATACCCCCTTTACTTACACTCATTGTAGTAAAACGTAATTTCATAACTGACATTCTCAATTCACATTGGACCAATAAAAATGTAGGAAAAACCCGCGAAATTAAAATTGTCAAGATAAGTTGTAACGATACTGACCTGTCCGGTAGCTTTCTTATATCGTAGCGTAGCCTCCCGTATGAGGTCCCTGACCAGCAAGTCGCCAGCGCCGCAGGGCACCAGCACCCGCACGGAACCAAAACACACCGTCACCTTCATGATAACACAATAACACTGATTCACCGAGCTCTCGCCCTCACCGCACGCCGTAGTACACACAACCTGGCATATTAGTTTGTCCAAAAACTAATAGGAGCACTCCACTACCTGACGCACATGGCACCGGTGGCCCTACGTCGAGGCTCACAGAGCACCGTTGAAATAAAAATGCCAAAACCACGGGTTCGGTCGTGTGTTGTCATAGCGCCGTATGCGGAGTACGTTCGCACCGAACGAGTTTTGTGTGTTTTCTTTTATCAATCACTCAGGTATAGAAATGGCATTCAACATTGAGCACATTTCGATAAGATTACGCGGAATACTTGCTCGGAGCGCGCAATTAGCTACAACAACGGTCATACAGTCGCGAGGAGTACCGAGTATGAATAAGAATTCGTTTGGAAGTTTGTACCGGCGGGGCGAGAGGCAAGGGGTGAGGGCGCGGGGTGCGGGCGGCGGGACGCGACCGGTTCCCGCGGCCAATCCGCGCCGCGCTGGCGGGCGGCAGCTGTGCGCCTGCGCGGGACGGCGGCGTGTCGCGTCATACCTGCCACCACACACCGTCGTATTCCACTAGCATACCGATTCAAACTTTTGAATGAAACCGCCCCTCACTATGAGTAACTCTGACTCATGGGGGTTTCAGGAAACGGTTTATATAGTAACACTAGCAAGCCCCTCTATGTTCACTGGTTTCTAAATACTTTATAAATAATTATTTTAACTAATTTTATTAAAGATCAAAGCACGGGTAGGTATAATCGGTTGTGAACTCGGCAGACTCTGTTGTTGGAATAGAAAGTATTATTCGGAGTTTGATCAATGTTGTCATGCCAACGTAAAGTTGTTATCAAAATCTAGTTAGCTATATCTACCTAAAAGGAATTCGCAGAATGAGTAAACTAAACTACCTATACAAGTATGTTATGCATTATATTATGAACCTATGCATGACGGAGGACATTTATTTAATCTAGCGCAGGTACTTATAAGAAATAAAATTAATTTATCTCATGAAGATATGCATTTTTGCAAAATATTATTCTTTGTTTATATTTTCAGCAATATATCCTCAAACGCTCAGCTAACACTAATCTGTACTGGCAGGATGATGCAATTATGTGATTCAGTTGTTTTTGAACAAAGTTATACATTTAACCTAAATAATAAAGTATGTAATATATGTAATTTAAATTTCTTAGCATATTAAATAAAACTATCTTTTCGAATTTTTTCGCGAATTTATTTTGATTTTTGGTTCCCGACGTTTCGAATGCTTTACAGCAATCATGGTCACGGGAGAGCCTGAGGTGTTTCTCTAAGGTATTATATAGTTGTTACAGACAGCCTACCCACAATTAACAATTTTTATTTAAAATGTCAAGTATTCGCGTAAATCTAAGAAAGTATTATTTCCTAGCATAGTTACGTTTTTCATCTTAGCCATACCGAAATTAAAAAGAAACCGATTGAACTGGAGGAACTGCTTAAATATTGTTATCTAATAATTAATTAAAACTACTATTAGCAGAAAAAAACATTAAGCAAATACATCGATTAAATTCACACATGAATGGTTTGAAATGCGATTTAAAGAAGCAATGAAGGAAGCCTTTGTAAAAATTGCTTAACGCAATAGTCGAACCAATTTGTAGATATTAACAGCTAGCGTTGATTACATTAATGCTTTATAAATGCAACATACCTACTTGTGTAATACTAAATCTTCTCTTCGCTGTTCTGTGTGCTTAGTGTGAGTTTCATATGACAAATCGAATGACTTAACCACGTTGTAAATCGAACATACGTTGTCACGAAGTAAAATGAATAAGTCTGAGTGCGAGTGACGAGCTAGTCATTCGATTTAAATGACGTTTGCTCACCAAGTTTAGCGTTTATATTTTTTCGTATATTGGTAGCACGTAGCGCATATGCGATAAACCGACCAAATTAAAAATAATGATTTTCTAACGCTATTTGTATGGAGGCGATGTATTATCTAAATAGTCGAGTTATGTATGACGTAACTTGTTGGATTTTGTTGTATAAACAAACTGTGCGACGTGCGTGAGTTATGTAACCCAACATATGGTCTATTTAGATATCCTTCTCGGAAGGATCTCTCACTGTAAAATGTATCGTCTCTTTAGAAATCATTCTCAAAAGAATCTGTTAAAACAATGCACATTTAAGACAATTGAATGTATCGTTTTTTTAGAGACATTTCTCAAAAGGATCTATTATTATAAACAGTGTACATGTAAGACAATTGAGTTGTCCTTTTTTTTAACTATGAACCCAAACACACTCCCACACTCATTTAAAATATAAAACCGTGGAAATTAAGAAAAGAAAGTTATTTGTAACTATCCTTTCGACGAAAAAACATCGTTTCATCACATCACAACCCATAGTCCGGTAATGTAACTCCTTTGTACCAATTATTGTTTTTCAACTCTCACGATTTAAAATGAAAACAAGTCAGCATCAATTTGAATTGTTAGTAACTTTTATGGAAGAGTAAGTACCTAATCAAGTTATTTAAAATATTGAAATTGAGTTGATGAAGTGAACTTTTTATATATTTTGTGTTTTTGTTTTCTTATTGCTAGACATGGAGATCTTACTAAGCCGATAACCAAATGCAAGAGGTAGAGTCGTGACCATTCAGCATTGGGAGGAGCTAGCATCACTGCTTAACAGTGATGGCAGTGGTGATACAAAACCACAGATAAGTGGAAAAAGGTTTTCATGGTGATAAGTGATCACTCCTATATGTATATTAGAACTCTTTATAATATATTAATCAATATTCTATATATCTTTTTACATGGTGGATGTACCTACCATCGGGCTAATCTGTATCTATGCAATAAAATCTAACTAAGATTATTATTTTGTTTAGTTTATAAATTGGTTGAGGGCCTGGGTTATTTATTAAAATTATGCTTTTTCAATGTTAAAGGTGTGGAGCGATTTTAAAAACAATACCAAGAAGAAAGCTGCGCGACTGCATAGAGCAGCTAGTGGAACTGGTGGTGGGCCTGCAGTGTATATCAAACTCACAGAGTTAGAAAAAAGAGTGCTAAATGTTATTGGCATACAGGCAGCAACGGGTTTGGTAGTGCCTGAGGCAGGGTTTTCAAAGGTTATTAACTTTTAGGAGCACATTTTTAATAAGCACTTTTAATTAAAGCAATTGTTTGTTTCTATATTATTTTACATTATATTAAATTTAGGATATTGTTGCTGCAACAGGTGTGCTTGATGTGGCACAACCCAGGACTCGGGAATCTAGCACAGAACAATTAGGTATACAGGAAGACCATAGCTATCCAATCAATGAATGTAAGTTGTTTGGTATAGGTAGATATTACCTATCATTTTATAAATAAATAGAGGATAGGTTTGAATATATTTTCATTTTTTAGGTATTGAGCCATGGAATGAACCTGGACCTTCTAGCAGAGTGCATGTCGAGCCTTTTTTAAGCCAGGTTCATATAGAGTCAAGACCTCCTAGCCAAGCCTTCAATGTAGAAATTGAAGTCACAGAAAGTAAGTTAATTGTTACTTAAATTGTACTTAATCTAAATTATAAAGTGAAAATATCCAGAGAATGTGGTGTATAGAATTAAAAAAGTCTTATTTATTTTACAATATTAGCAGTGTTAGCTTGCCAACCTAAATATCAAATATTTTCTTTTGTCAGATGCTGAAGAAGTCTTACCCACTTTATCTCCAGAGACTCAAGTTTCTGCCCCTCAGCCTCGTATGCATCCTGCTCCGTATGGGCAAACTACACCACGCCGTAGTGAAAGATCTTCACGAATTTCAAATCGCAAAATTACGCGGGTTCGAATACGTGAATATGTGATCATAATATGTAAAGTGTAATGACCATTTAATTATGGTCACAGTCAGCTTTGCGGTTAGATAAAGGGTTGCAATGTTACAACTATACACGGTACACCATATTGCACAAGGGGTGCTCAAACTGTGCGCTACAAATACGATTATGTCATATTAAATGTGTTTGAAATAATGTTAAAAATGTTAGCTATCTGGGAAGAATATAAAAGCTATATCACATTCTTTTTAATGAATACTGTTCAGTGTTGGGTTATCTTTCTTTCACGAGCAACAGAGCAACAACTTGACGTGATTTTTCGAATGGTGCTTATTTACGATCTAGAATCCTGTGAACGAAATAAACTGTCCTTTATTCCGACAAATCGAGTGGATCCTGAGATACATTCGTCTGAGATTGTTATTGGGGACACTAGTAAAGTGTTTTTATAGTTAAATGATACTTATACGCTTAGAGTTAAATAAATAATTTATTTAAGTCATCTTATACATATAATAGAACAATAACAAAGCAAAATTTGTACATGAAATATATAATTTTTAAAAGTATTGACCGTTACGTATTATGTACAGAGTATATAGCTACACCAAAACAAAAGTTATTGAAATTTTATCTGTAGGTTTATCTGTGTGCATTTCACGCAAACAGTACTAAACGGATTTTAACTAATTATTTTGTGGTGATAATTTATTAAACTTATTACTTGGTTCAACATTTACGATGCTCTTTACTTCAGGAAAATCTTTCATTTCCAGGGAAAACAAAGTAACTGGTTCTGTCAAGTCATCCTTAAAAATTTACAGGACTAACGTTGACTAAACCTTAAGAGATACATCAAAGGTACATCAAAACAATGTACTAGAAAGGTAGGAAAAGTCCGCAAAAGCAAATGTCTACTCCTGAGATACACTCGAAATAACCGATTTTTATCATTTAAAACGTACCTAGGGACGGAACTAAGTCGCTAGTACTTCACAAGTCTAAAAATTCCTCAACGTTTTAATGTGACGATAATGTTACAACGGTCACCCGTAAAAGCTCGCTAGGTAGAGCTCCATGGTATTCATTTCAAGGCTAAGGGCATTAGTATGCGGAAAACATCACCGTAACCGACGCTTCACTCATGACATGCAAGTCTATGGCAAAGCATGGCGTTTATACATGACATACCTGACGGGTCGTGGCGCTTAGAGTTAAATAACATTTTATAAATAGACTAGACTAGCGGCTTACCTTTGCTTCGCTCGTGTGCGTCCCTAGGTACGTTTATATAGATATAAATAGTTATTAGCCAGCGTGAGCCATGTAAATTTTAAATATTTTATTTTGTAATTTTTTCCGAAGTTTTAATAGTTATTCTGCTATTCGGAGCGGAGACAAATCAAACATAGAAAACGGTCTTATCGTTCTCACGTTATAAATGGTGTTACTAACCCGGCTTTTTTGTATTTAAATACTTTATTGGATTATATCCATTCCTTATTACCCATTATATAGTATTATCCCTAGCTTATTATAAATGCAATAATGTGTATTAGTTTCTGCTGCTTTGATATACTTAATTAGGCAATGCATTGGCGTGATTTTTTGATTGAAAAATTATTTCATGGCAAGAGAGCTTATGTATGATGTATCTATCCATTGAAGGGCACGCGATGCACTTGGATTGGGCGAAGACGGGTCGTTCATTTCGCATAATTTTAATATTATGCATAATATGTTCTTATTATAAGTACTTGGGTCGTCCCTACTTACGTTTTAAAGTTTAGTATAGATTTCTCAGAGATGAGATATTTTCCCGCAGTAAAAATTATCTTGTATGTTGACCCGGATAACCAGCTATCATCGTGCCAAATTTCATTAAAATCCCTACAGTAGGTTTTCCGTGATGCGGTCCCAGACAGACAGACAAAATTCTAAAAACTCTGTATCGATAAAAATGTCTATTTCAATAAGATTTACTAAAAGATATTTATTGAAGAGATTCGGCTTAGTTACAATTTTATTATATGTAAAGACTAGCGTCTCACAATCGCTTCGATCGATTTTGCCTATAGAAAAACAAAAACAAATCTATCCCAAGGGAACCGTTCATATTTCCGGGATAAAAAGTAGGCTATGTATTATTCTGATATATGAGATATATTATTATAAAGTCTCATTAAAATCCATTCAGTAGTTTTTGCGTGAAAGAGTAACAAACATCCATACATCTATACATCCAGACATCCGTACGATCCAGTAGGATGGAGACTGAAATATATTTTAAGATATAAAATAAAACCAAAATTCAGATCTTGTAAACCATTTTTATTATATTTAATTAATATTGCTTAATTGAATTGAAATAAATAAAATAGATAATACACTTGAATACGCAGCAATCGAAGTAAACAACACCTACAAAAATAATTGATACGCAGGATATTTGGCTAATATTCGGTAAGGTTCGTTGCTGATTCGGGAACATTAAAGCTGGTTGGTATAATATGGGTTTGTCTGGAACAGTCTTACACGACGGAGTTCGCCAGTTGGATATCCTACAATATTGACGTACTGTAGGAACTATTTCTTTCCTGTCTTATCTTATCTTACATACAATATAAGACAAATATATATATATAAGAAAATTGCGTTAAGATGACGTTTTAGTGTTTTAAACTAAATTAATATAATATTAATTGTGAAAAAATATTATCAACAAGTATCTTTATTGTTTCAAAATCAGCAATCACCAAAATGGTACAATTCTAAATTTTCAATTCAAAACTTTAGAAAATCTATTAATTTTAAGGAATTTTGTAATCTCCTACCAGTATTGTTTATATACGCTAATAATTTAAATTGAAACGTCGTACCAAAAACTCGCCTATGATTTATAAAATCGAATAAACGTATAACGTGACATAAAAATAAAAAGATAAACTGAACAGCGTTTAAATAAATAGAAATCTAAGCATATAAGTCAAAATATTTGGCACTATACCTAAACACGTTAACGAGAATATTCAAACTGACATACTGAGAAGACCGATTGCAAACAAGAGATCTCTTCCAAAAATAAGATATATCTTCACAGCATGGTACACTACTTAAGATTACCACTAGACAGATGATTAACAATATTTACAAAGATTATTAACAATTTACTAGTTTATAGTGGAGTACTCCAGGTGTAAAAATGTACAAGTTACTTCTAATTATTATATCAATAAAAGAAAATAATGCGAAGATTCCATGAACTCCCTTTATATAAACGAATACATGATGCGATTTGTTATAAAAATCCCAGGAAAGATCATAAGCGGAAACTAAAATATATTATTGATAATAATCGGCAAATACACGCTTGATGCAAGCAACGGCGAAATAAGTTAGTCAGTTAGTTACCAGCAAATTTACGTGAGTCATACGACACTTCCGACTATCGCGCAATTAAGTACAGGCTTTCAAATCATACATAAGCAATTAAAGTAGCACTCGATAGATATATAGAATTAATAATAATATTCTACTTTGAAAAGAATTTACTTTATCTAAAACTTACCGACAAGATGAATTGACACAAAACTATGTTACATTCATAATAATAATAATATAATAATGGTAAATATGAGAAATATTCTACAACAAATATTCGAAAATGGTTTATGTATGGATTGTACTTTCGGTTTTGTTCTAACGCTACTGATTATGACCGAGGCCGTAATACGAAAAGTAAGGACTTTAATAAGTACATTTCAATAAGTGTATAATAAAATTTTAAACATTGTTGTATCTTTTATAATTTTTGTTTAAAATTTTTCAATACTAAATTTTCTAATAATTATAAACTCTAAAATTTAGTATAAGGTACGTACATGGTTAACGTTGATTTAAGAGTTTATGCAAATTATTTTAAATATCTCAATAGAAAACGAGGAAAAAAAATTCTTTACATTGTTTTTAAATGAATGAAGGGAGCTTACTAATTTACGCATATATGTATGTATATTTATTTTACAAACGTCATGAAGTGATTTGTTAGAAGTGACTAGAATCGAAAGATACAAAGTAATAGAGAATCCAAGTCAGAAAGCAACGATTGGCATTTTCTTTAAAAATAGATTACATATACCAAAGAATTCATAAAATCTAAGCATCTACAATAATAAATCGTGGTAACAATATGTCTACATATTATGAATCGAAATGCAAAATGAATACATTATTATCAAACCACGGTAGGAGGTGGAGGCGGGTGGAGGCGGGCGCGGCGGGGCCAGCCCGGCGCCGCTCCGATGACTACATTATCACAAGACAAATAACTATACGAGAGCACCTTATAATTGTAGAGATCACCGCACCTCAGGATGATCGACGGCCATTAGATGGCGCCACTAATGTACAATGAATATTATACACTGGCAAATAGGTACATATTGACAATTTACATAAAGTACATAGCACAGAGTTAGAGTTACACGATCAGGCACGTTCGAATAGCGAAGATCCATATAAATACATATCGATCGTAGTGGATGATCCGAAGACAGTTCGTCCTTCACACTTTTGCTTATCAGATGAAATGTATTTTGGGTTAAATTATTTGAATAATATTTTGCAGACAGATAATCAAATATATTGGAAATGGGTTGTCTCATGAGCCTTTAATAAAAAAAAATATTGATTGGTATTTTTGTTTTTATAGTTTTGATAATGAACAAAAAAACATAATTTATAGTAAATGGACCACTTGACCGTATATCAATCACTAAACAACCCTTACGCGATATATTAGTCTATACATAGTACATACAGAATACCTAAAACAAAACCCACATCTGATAAACATATGAATGAAGAATAATTATATCGGACATTAAAACCACCAGCACAAAGTTGAGTATTGTTAAGCAATAGAGAGCTAGACGTCACTCTCCGCATCGGTCACATGTTCGAAGGCGGGCTGCCCAAAGTTCCTCGTGATGGATTCGCTCACAGTGCGTATGTTGGCGAGATAGCGGTGCGCGGGCTCGTCCGAGTCATAGATGGCACTGAGTGACTCCAAGGAGACCAAGGCCTCCGAGTCCAGGAGGCGGGAGGAGGCTCGGGAGGATACGTCATCGTCACGCTCCAGGTAGCAGGAGTTGACATCGCTCAGGGCTGCCTCCGCGTCCGTAAGGCCTGCCTCGTTAAGCATGGACACGTTCTCTAGCGCGGGGTCGTCGGTGGTGTAGCCGGTGCTCTCCGGCTGGCCGCCCTCGCCCTCACCCTCGCCCTCCGAGCACGAGGAACTCCACTCGGACTGACTCTCCCCGTAGATACCCATTTCTCTATGGTTGGAAGTGGTTACCTGTGTACAAGTGCATATCAATGAGACACGTTATACTTAGTTTGATATGTTATCTATACATAAAATAAAATTTAAACTGAAGCGAATTTTTACATTAAATATTTTTTTGGAAAAGCTTATTGAAATAGTCATTATTGTAGATACAGAGGCCGGATCTATAGGTTTTAGAAATTTTGTCCATCTGTCTGGTAAAGCAACACGAGAAAACCACTGGACAGATTTTGATGAAATGTACATATTGATATCATCTGCTGGATAATGTAAAAAAGTGTAAATAATTATATGTCATTCAAAAATATAGGAGTGGGGTACACAACGCCAAATTCAAAATTAATTTAAAAATATTATATTACTTAATATTTACAAAATAAAGAAATGTATTATATGTATGTTGCAAATATATGAATACGTTACCTTTTTTTAAAATAAATAATACATAAGTAAAATAAATAATAATATTTACCCGGTTATGAAGTCTGTCTTGCAATTCTTTATCCTGTTTTACTTTTACAGGCATCGTGTCCCTCATTCTAGCACCTGGCGCACTGTTAATAATAAAAAGAGAGAAGTTTAAGAGGGAGTATTAAGTTAAATATTTATTATAAAAAAATAATTAAAATGTTTTAACATCATAGAAAGTAAAATTCAGTGTTCGTTACATCCAAATGTTTTTAGCATAATGTTTTAACTTTCAAGTTTTACTTAATTTTAACACATCCGTATCCTTACAGTCTAACGTACTCGTCGACTTTTCTTACAACTATACAGGTTTTGTCCACTAACGTCAGTCGGTGCAGAGAGGCCATTGTCAGCCTACAAATTAATATTAAGTGACAACGTCACCAAGCTCTAGAAACCTAGAAAAATATGTAATAGGGAATATGCAAATATTTTTTATATTTTTAATTCACTATTTACACTGATATAACATAGAAAAAAATATGAATACTGTTTAAAAATGCCGTAATTAAGTTTAAAAAAATATAATTATAATAAAGAATAATTTTAAGCTGCATATACGCTGCCATTTTCACGCGCTCTATTGATGACGTCAAATACTATGTCCAGCAGTGTTGCCAGATCAAAAAACTCATTCAGCGCTAGGATCGCACAAAATATGTTAAACTTCGCGCTAAATTAACTATTTTTTCTTGAACTATAAATTATAATAAACAACAAAAAGAAAGCCCTAGATCTGGAGTCCTGGAGGAGTGTCCAGTCTGTCAGTGAGACGTGAGTACTGAGTAGTGACAGTTCAGTCCATTGTTTACTACAAGTTTATGGTTAAAAATGCAAATAAATCCGCGACAAAATCCGAAAAGATAGTTTTATTTAAAATGTCAAAAATTCGCGTAAATCTAAGAAAGTATTACAAGTTTATGGTGTTCTCGTTCATAGTTTATTTCACCATGAAAAAAACTCAAAAGCCAGTTAATAAGTATCTAAAATATAAAAATATAAAAACACTATCAGAAGTACACCTCACAAAGTGTTTTTTCCAGTCCCGATAGGTGCAAAAATATGTAAGGAATGGTGTAAGGTAATTAGAAGAGACGAAGTGTCTGCAACAACTTGTTCACATTGTTATGAAGATAAATAAATAAAATGATTTGTTTCTTCACTAACTGTTTTTACTCATATTAACCTGATCCATATCTAATATTTAATATTACAGACTACATAAATACAAACAAATAACTTACAATATATCGAAAATATCGACAAATTTGTACGATATATTGCGTAGTATCGATACAACAATACGATATATTGAAAAAAATATCGATTTTTTTTTACATGAACATCCTTAGACACAGTATTTGAGGTCACGTTTCGCTGGTAATGCATTTTACAGATATGAATTTCCCTCGCTTATTTTGTGCTTTTATTTATTAATTTTAAGTAACTAAAAAGATATTAATTACTAAAATAATGGTTTCATACAAATGTCCGGCCAATAAGATTCGGAATAAAAATATTTGTTTCAAATTTAAAATACATTCATATTCCCTATTGTATATTGTCACACGAATTACGAGTAAATATACTTTAAAGAAGGAAAATAAATGTAAATTTTAATAATAACTTAATTAAAGATAACAATTAGTATTTTGATTGTGCATATATTAGGCATATTTCGCCCTTTTTAGTGCATATAATCCGATGTCTAGTTGTAAGATAATTGTAGGTTTGACGGGTTGTTGCTGTAACTTGCCACTAGATGACACTACAACTCTTCCGTTCTCTCTAAACCGCTTACCATGAAAATTGATGTTTTTACAAGCCTTATACTTGGCAGCATTATCGTTAAAATCACTCACTCTGTGATTTTCATAGTACATATTGGACTTAGAGAATTTTTACAAGTGTTATAATTTTTCATCATATAATATCAATGTAAGTAATTTTATTTGAATATATCAGCCATATATCATCTTTTTATTTCTAATATACTTCTAACATTTTTGTGGCATCAGAACAAACGCACAAACATCTCCAATTTGGTTCACTACCTATATACTAAAACTCTGAAGAGTACATTATGACTTGCCTAGTATGCATTTGGGCGTGGCTGGAGTGCGTGGGCGAGGGCAGTTCCACGACCACGTCCGTGGGCAGCACGCCGGGGAAGTCCGTGGGCTTGAGGGGCGATGCCGCGGGGGGCGGGCCGGGTGGCGCCCCGCACGGCAGGGGGCCAGGGGGCCCGGGGTGCGGGGGGTGCGCGGGGGGCGGGGGGCGCGCGCGCGCCGGACTCGCCTCCTGCCGCGCCAGCTGCGTGATGGCCGCCAGCCCCACCGCGTGTAGTGGGCTACTGTTGTTGTTCACTGATGGCGGTGCTCTGGAATTTTGGGATATTAAAGGTTTATTTAAATATGTGGTAACGAGCTCACTTGGAAAACCAAGTGGAACGAGTTCAAATCTCGGTTCTCGCACCACAATATCAGAATTATCACTTGCTTCACAGTGAAGGAAAATAACGCGAGAAAACGAAACGAAACTGCATGTTTAAGATAACCTAACCAGAACTAGTTCTTGAAGGACATGTGAAATCTATTAAACCGCGCTTGGTGAATCTGAGTGTCCAAAAAAAATAATATCATGTAACTGATGCAATTTAAGGATAAGAAAATCAATATTTTTTTTCTTAAATACTCAAAATTTAATGGAAATTATGTTAAAATTGTAAAGAAAAACATAATCATCTCACCTTAATTCTAATTTCAAGTCCTTCCTCTCTGCCTTTGGTGAGTTCATCTTAATAAGATTTTTATCATCAAACAGCCTTTGTATCTCTCTCTCGAAGGGCGGCACGCACGCCACGTCGGACGGGCTGCGCTTCGTGAACAGCTCCCTGCTGTCGTGGTGCAAGTGCTTTAAGTTCCCGGGGCGGCTGCCCGAGCTGGAGAACGAGCTGGTCCTCTGCGTGAGGCGATGAGGCACGTCCTTCTTATCTGTCTGACTGCAACCGTCCCTCTTCACAGACGCCTGGAGCATGTTAATTATGCTCCTTTGCAACTTTTCCTCTTCCTTTTGAAAATCTAAACTACCATCCAGAATTTTGTCGTCGATTGATGATTTCTTATTATTTTTATGTTTTGCGTAAATTTCATTTAGGATATTAGGAGTCGGTTTGTTAAGTCTAATGGGGGGATAGTCATACGTGTTGGGGTCGGTTCGTTGGGGTCGAGCGGGAGGCAGCCAGGGCGCGGGACGAGGGGGCGAAGGGGACGCGTCCGTGGTCCTGGAATAGCTCTCGTCAGACGAGCTGAGACTGGGGGATCGGGTGAGTGAGCTCAGTTCATCCGCTGAAGAATGGACTCGAGGACTTCTTGCTAAAGGAAGACTTTCACTAGACCGCGGTCTCGGCAACCTCGTAGGGGGTCTGCGTTTGTGCACAGCCGGCGGTCGAGCCTCTTGCGGTCTGGGCCAGGGCGGCACCAGCGCGCGCGGCGGCGGCCAGCGCGGGTTGCCGTTGATGCCGTGAGGAGGCGGAGGTGGAGGAGTGTCTTCGGAGTCCATATTGCGTCTTCCTTTACTGCTTTTGTGATTGTTCCCGTTACTTTGGTGCCCGTTAGAAGGTAAAAGCGGCTCGTTCTCACCGGCCACGGAGGATTCCCTTAGAGGTGGCAATCTGGACGGTTGCGCCGCTCTTCTCGCTGAATTTTGTAACATTGCTAATGGAGTAGCGACACCGCCGTACGCAGTGGGAGGATTTTGAGGTTGACTGTTTGTATTATTTTGATTAATGCCATTAGATGGCGTTCTGTCTGTTAAAAAATAGGTAGTCATTTCCCCCTTTCCTTTAACTTTGACTTTGCCGCGACAAATAAATTGATACGGAAAATCCTTCAACACCTGAAAGACTTCCTCTGTGACTTGCGTGTGGTTCGGAAGACCGGTGGAGTCCATACGAGAGGCTACATTAACTGTATTCCCCCATATATCATACTGAGGTTTTCTCGCGCCTATCACTCCAGCAACCACAGGTCCGACATTAATACCTAAAATATATATTATGGCTTAAATCTTAATTATTTATTTTTCACTTATTAAGGCGGGCTCAAATCTCAGGTCTCGCAACTCCAATATTTTCATTTGCGAATCATTTATAACATAATTACGACTTGCCTTACGGTGAAATAAAACCTAAGAGAACCTAGCAAGTTTTCGAAAGACTAGTTTGGCCAGCCTAGTGGATAGCTTGAACCCCTAGTATTGAAGGGAGGCCCGTGCCCAGCAGTGGGACGTTAAAAAGGGCTGAATACATAAATGAAACTTACCAACACGAAGCATGAAATTGTTATAGGAATTATCATTGATATCCTTAAGCTTGTCTCTCATAGCGAATACGAACTCGACCAAAGTAGCCATGTGCTTCCTCGTGCTGGCGTCGTCTAACATCTTTTTGTCAGGAATGAGACCAACTGCTGCCATATATGTAGAGCCCACAGTTTTTATTTTATCTATTGCACTGAATCGATCTTCGCCTAGTAGCTGTAAATAATATTTTTTGTTATTTAACGTAATATATGTATTATTATATTTGCGAGATGATGATGATATGTGAAATGGTATTTTAAAAGTAAAGAGAGACGTATGATATAATTTTAAGAATAGAATGGAATGAAAGATGAATAAAAGAAAAGAAGGATGTATTGCTATAGCAAAACATCCTATATATGTATAAACATCCTATATAAACATTATTTTCTGTAATTTTAATAGAATAATGGTCGTATTATTTAGTGTTTTTATTTGCATTCCTGGAAATTTGTAGGATTCAAATTATTTGTAGTGCCGCCGTTATAACAAAACATCCTAAGTCACTTTTTACTATTAAAATATCATATCACGCATACTTATCTCGCAAATCCCACATTTATGTTTATTAAATGTGACATTTGCTTTGCATATTATAGTACTTATGTCCAATCATCATTTAAGTTCATAGAATATATTTATACACATATCCCAATAACATTATATATAATTAAAACTATTCAAAGTATGGTACCTCATCAAAATCAGCTATAATCTCGTTGAGCAGCCGGAGACACTCCATGCCCTGGTTGTTGCCGTCGAGTTCCATGTAGAACTCGTGGTAGTTGGTGATGGACGCGAACACCACGCCCACGCGCTGGTACGACTGGTGGTATAGGTCCTGGAAACAGACTCCATTAGTTAATAAATATGATTGTAAGTTCATTAAAAAGGTAATATAAAATAGCAATGACAGAATATATAAGTTAGCTATTTAATCTATACTGATATATAAGGAGGTTTTTGTTTGTTTCTTGGAATGAACATTCAGATATGATTCTTTTTTTGAAAATTAAAAATTTAATCATCATTATGCTTATTTTAAAAAGTAGTTAAAATATACATAAATGAATATTGCGGGCGGAGCCGCAGGCGATGCTAGGTATTGTAAAAAAAAACAAAGTATGTTCGTTTTGTCTTATTTTTGGATGTTAACCAGTTGCGATAAAACGAACACGAATATAACGTGCGATATGATAGAATAGATTACTTTTTTATGCCAGCCCATTGTTTTAGATGCTTACATCTAAGTTTTTATGGTAAAAGTTTAATGTACATATAAGTGAAAAATGCGCAAAATAGATATCTTAGTATGATTATGTATGTTTTGGGTGTAACAGTCACATAATAAATAAATTGAAACACTTGTTATATTCATATACAGAAACAATGAAGAAGCAAGTCTTACCATGTTCGTCCTAAACTGATTATCTAAGAAATGTGTCGCCACATGCGCTGGCAGTAAGTTGAACAATATTCTTCTGTTAGATGCCTGAAAGAAAAAAATAATAATAATTAATGATATTGTTAATGGACATTATTTGAGAACCCTCTATCTTTGATGACTCATAACACTTCCGCTAGATCACAGATTCAAGTCACTTGTGTTTTTACATGAAGTAATATTAAAATTAAAACGCGCAACGCAACGGCGCGGGATTCATTTAAAACAAGTTTAAACTTAAATAAAACGCAAAAATCTCTTAACTATTGAGATCGGCAGACAACCGTCAGGACGTCATGTTTGAGTGTGTAAGCGATCCTGTGGCGTCCCATAAGACGTGGAAGGTTCTGTTGGGGCTGTGGATGCATGGTCTTTTCTAGACGTTGAGTCCCACATAACCACCTGTATGTATGCAAGTCGTATGCTTAAACATATTTCCCAACATTTTCCAACATAAAAAAGTGTAGTCTAGTTTGACAACACGTTTGGCTCAGTTTGTAGTGACCCTACTGGCAGTGCCAGCGGTCACGGGTTCGAATCCCGCTGGGGGCATTCATTTGTGTGATGAGCACGAATGTTTGTACTCTAGTCATGGGTGTCTATATTTATAATATGTATGTATTTAAATTTATATATGTGCAGTGTATCAACTGTCTAGTATCCATAACAAAGGCCTCGTAACTTACCATGGAACTAAATGGTGCTGTGTGTTAATGTCCCAATATATTTATTATTATTTAATTATTATAGTGACCTGTAAAGCATCCATATCGCGCTTCTCGTCCCGGGCCTGGACCTGCCAGAGGAAGTCGAGGCGCGCGGTCCACTCGGTCTGCCGCGCGTGCAGCAGCACGGCCAGCGCCAGCGCCAGCGTCCACGCGCACGCCGCGTACGCCGACCCCACGGCCCCGGGGCTACAAATGACCGTATTACTCTTATTATTAACTCGTATAAACGAACTAGCATTGCTCGCGGCTCCGCCCGCGTTCAGATGACCAAAAACCATATTCCTAGGTTTTACATATTGGTATACTCTTACATTGCAGTTTTCGATTTTTTCTTGGAAATGAGATATTTTACGAGGGTAAAATGTATCCTATATGTTGACCCGGATAACCAGCTATAATCATACATCATTTCATCAAAATCCCTCCAGTGGTTTTTCTGTGATGCGGTAACAGACAGACAGACAAAAATTCTAAAAACTATAGATTCGGAGTCTGTATAGATTTTGTTTCAGGTTCAGATACAGAGACATAACAAATATATCTTACTCAGTCATCAGGTCGTAGCAATCGAAGAGGTGTTTGTGGTACGCCAGTATCACAGTGACGTAGCCGGCCGTCATCACCGCCAACAAAATGCCCTTCACTAGTATAGGGAGTCGCAGGAACACGGCCACAGCGAGCATGCTGAGGCAGCAGCCTAGAGTTATGTACAGAGGGATAGGACAGGCTCTATGATCCGTGCTACTCCACAGCACAGCCGATACTTTATCCGAAGCCGCTTGAATGTCACCCATCGTTATGTTCTCTGTTAAATTCGCGCAAACGTTAACTTCTCGACATGTTATCTGAAAAAGGATAGATAGCACATCAAGTATTTCTACTAAAATTTGATGTTTTTTTATCAAATCGAATCCTTAAAACGATTAGTTACCACGTTAACTTGTCCTACAGCGTAGCCCAGTACGATGGTGAAAGTTGTAATAGCATTTCGTAGTGCAAATGGTCTGGATACATCACAAGGTATGAGCCTTAGCCGAGCTGCCAATGTTAAAGCCAGTACAGCAGCAGACCATGCGAAGGCAGTGACGAATAGAAGGAGAAGAATGGTAGTACGGGGGAGTATGGCAGCTTGAAGGGCACCCGCAGCCACGAGAGCTCCCAACGCAGCGCTTAATGAACCCGCCCACCCACCGTCTGTTGATGCCCGATACTGAAAATAGAAAAAAATAATGATGTTTGTGCTATATTTGATTTATAAAGGATAAGTATCATAAAATTTTATTTGTTTGTAAAAGGAGAATGTGCTATATTTGATTTATAAAGGATAAGTATCATAAGATTTGATTTGTTTGTAAAAGGAAGATGTGCTATATTTGATTTATAAACGATAAGTATCATAAGACCTTATTTGTTTTTAAAAGGAAGATGTGCTATATTAAAGTTATATTTAATCTGTGCTCGGTGGCGCCAAGATATTTGTCATGCGATGGTAGGGAACCAATCAGAATGAAGATAGTTAGACTTAGGCGTGGCACTGGGGATTAAATAATATATAATAAGTAACAATTTAAAGAAATTAACAGTGTAAAGAATTAAAGCCTTAAAAATTATTAATGGTGTTTTCATAAACCACACAATGTCACTGCAATTTGTAAAAGCAAATAAAATGGTAAAATAAGTAACAAAAACTGATAAAATATCGTTTAGATTTCATTTAATATAAAATGTATTATGTACAAAGGAGATCTCTGAACAATGCGTTAACACGATCAATCTAACTTCACTTTTATCCGAAGTTAAATCCCAACGGTGTTTAGAACTGAATAGATTTATTATTTTCAACAAAACGCGTTTGATTATTATTGATATGGCGAATAAACGAGATTTGAAATTTATTTGAAAGAGCGGATTGCAATAGTCCTTAACGTAAGACTAATTGCTAACGTCATTAAGCTGTTTACCTGTGCTTCTTTATCCGCATCTTTGAAGCATAACGTGAGTAAATGCACGTGCGTGGCCTTTTCCCGATGCACTGAGCGCGCGTCTATCGCCTGCGCCAAGTATTTGTTCACGCGGTTGGTAGGCTGATGGTATACAGACGAATGACGTTTTTTCAATGGCCGCTTTGACTTCTCCGTCACTTTATTCTGTATAGACATAATAAAAATTCAAGACCAGATTTATAATTTAGCTTTTAGTTCGGCCAACACTTGGCAGAGAAAAGTGAGGGTATTAACTGATTATTACGTTAAACATCAAGGGTCAGATGAGAAGGGACCGAGCACATTTGGGACCCACAGCATGCCGACTCCATGCTCCATTTAAAGTTCGGACTGACCTTAGAAATAAAAGTTCCGGGATCCGAAGCAGCATAGCATTATTAGAATGGCAAAATAGTGTATAATTTATTATACATAAAATTTATACATCGATATGTTTAAAATAGAGACTGTCAAATAAAGTAGAAGTACATATATTGCTTTTAAACACGTGACGATTGCACAGTTTTCAGTCACAGTCAGTCTTATAGAGTTGAACTATTAAGACTTCAAGATTACACCAATATTATACAACTAAGTTATAATCCATTGTTAGAAATCCATGCAAATTATTGTTATTGTGGATCATGCCATGCCATGCTGAGGTAGCTAACCGGGATAGCAAGTGAAACACATTTCAGTGCATTCGGCTTTATTCTCAAACAAAATTCAATAAAAACAATATCAAGTTTCACATTTTGAAAGAAAATAAGTCCCAATAAGAAAACAGTGATATATAAAGTGTAGGTTTTGAGTGCTCGCGTTTCTCTTTTGCTTGGTCTTCGATTCGCCCGATTGATTTGAAGTTAGAAAACAAAGGTGCGAACGAAATCATTGGTGAGGTGCGACCCTCAATTGTAAGATTCCTATATCAGTTTGGGATATTTAGTGTCACCTGGTGAATGGAAAACAATAATACACATGGAATACACTTTTCTGCGCTTACTGTTTCAGCGGGTATTTGTTGTGGAACTAATGTCCAAGAGCGGAAAATCTGAAAAACAACGAGCAGACGTTCCATGTTAGTTGTTGGAACATGTTACTCAATATTTTCCTAATTGTAATTAATAAGTCGCTTATTTGTACTACTACAAAGACATCGTCAATCTGGGACATTATTTTAGTTGGATCTTTAATAAGCTGGATAACTATTGTGTTTAAAGAGAGAAAATATTTCGGTAATGAAGAAAAAATAGTGTTCTGTGCGAGTTCGCCAAAGTGTTATTTAAATTTGGAAAAGAAGTAAGGTGTTGTGTAAACCTAAAGGTTGTAAAGTTTTTATATCGCATAAGAACTTAGTGAAAAGCGAAAATCTCCCAATCCTCGCAAAATATTTTGATAGTGCTGTAAGAAAGCTTGAGAGCACAATTTAAAATTTCAGAAAAAGCTGCAGATTTAGTTGTAAAAATCACACTCAAAAACCATACTAACTACTAGAAAAACATTAAGCGAGGTTATAGTTTGCTGCGCATTTGAATTGCATTGATCCAATGCATTTCATGTACAAAATTCTTAAGCAAAAAATGGACGCTATAGTCATATGACGAAAATGAAATTATCGGACACAACTTTTGTAGTTTCTATCACTTATTAGAATTATTAATTCTATCGCCGAATTCATACATATAACTATAATGTTTATTTTTCACATTCTACACCCCATTATATTTAACTGTCGCAAATTTACACAATTTGCTTAAAAACAATATCAATGTGCAAGATAGTCATTAAAATAGACATAAAACTATACATCCTACACATAAACATACAACTAAATAAGAAAAGGTTTTATATATGTATATATTTCCTTGCACATTGATCATGATTAACTTGTCTATGTGGTTGGCTAATTAATATTAATAAAAGCCGTCGTATAGACAAATCAAGTGAGATATTAAGGCATTGCTAGGTGCTATCGGTGACCGTTGCATGTGTGCGCAGGGCGTGGTGCTGCATGACTGCGTCGAAGGTGTGGTTGTAGGGGGCGGTGGGGGGGTCGGTGCTCACGTGCTCCCCGCGCAAGGCCGCCAGGCGCAGGGCCTCCGCCGAACCCGGCTCGGCGTGCAGCGCGCGCCGCAGGTCCAGCACCTGTCAACCCGACCCACACGCTGTCGTTCTAGCTTTACTTTACTTTCTTTACTTTGACACCCGTTCATTCTCATTACATATGTTAGATATTAAGTCCGAAAGACTAGAGCAATATTCCGTAATTTTAAATTAAATTTCAAGGAATAGATTTATTTATTTTTAATGTGGGTTGTTATAGGTATACCTATTTTATAATCATTAATTGTTATGAACAGTTCATAATTCATTTAACTGCATTATTAAATTTACAGAATCTTTTAATTGAATATATTTGGAAACTTCTTTAATTAAATTACTTTTATTTGCCTTTGTTAAATCGGAGCTGTTGAAGACAAAATGCCCAAAGCATTAATAATATGTATTTGCAGGTGACAAAGTACGTAGATCTTTATCTGTTTGAAGAACAACGATGTGTATAAAGGTATAGTTTAGATTTTAGAACATCTATGCATTAAATTAAATGTATATGCACACTATTTATAAATCACCAGGCGTTGTGTATTATCAATGTTAATATCTCCCATTACTATTCGTATTGTTCTCCTATAAACAACATTAGAACCAGTAACATGCAGATATTCCAGTTGCATTTTCCTTTAACATCGGCTTAATACTTCACCACTCATTTTTACACTTTTATAAGTGGCTATACTAATTTAAGTATAATCAAATTAGAGCTAGCACGTATTATCTTTCTTGTTAAGAAACCCAGTAAGTGGCAAATTTGCGCCAAATAATAATTACAAGCTCCTTAAGTTTAAGGCTTTATAGAATAATATTGAACTTTTCAAGATTATATTTTACAGAACACTTTAACACAATAAAATAAACACCAATTGCTTGAAGTATAGAACACCATAAATATCGAGTAAAAGAAACAGACTTACCTTTGAAGTATTAAGTGTAGTTCACCGAAAAAGAAATATCACTCAATTGAAAACATCTGGATAGAAAGAAACGTGGACATCGACCTCGTATTGTAAAGCGTGTCCAGTACGGTATGAATAACGACTAAGTGCAAATTCAAACTTAAGATTGTTTAAATAATAAAACATCTGTACACGTCAAAATTTATCTAACTATAATTGGTTTTTTTTGGTGTAAAAAGTACCTTCCTGGCAGCGTTTGCCTTAAGCTCCTGAGGCGATGCCGCCATGTTTGAGAACGGAACGTCTACGTTGAACTTTATTGAATGCAGCAATTGCACTACAACATTGGATACATTTTTGAAAGACAGCTTCCGCCGAGAGCCAGATCCTAACCCTACACCTGCTGACAAGCACATCTGGAAATATAAAGTAATATTAAGTGAAACTGTTCTAGTACATTCATAATGTACTAATAAAAATAAACACACTTTTCTTCGTCTAGGAGGTGGAATTATGAAGTACGTCTGAATGGAATGATCGCGCAGGTATGCATTTCGACTAGCACCATGACCAGGCTCTACTTCGTATGCTCCCCCGAGGCATTCTAGCGTAGCTTGCGTTATGTGTACGCGGCTGAAAAAAACTTCAAACCTCAAAAAAAAGATGTGTTATAATTATACTATATGATATATGTATGTATATACATCAAATTTACCCAGGTTCACCCCCGGCTTCCATGTTATTAGCAAGCGTTACATCATTGGACCAAACGTCGTATTGCCATTTCCGTAATCCTAATACCCCGCAAAGTACACGTCCAGTATGAATGCCTACTCGCATATTTAATTGCACATCTGTTGCTTCTACTACGGACCTGTAAATAAAAAATAAAACTAAATTAATAGGGTAACTAAAAATAAGTAATACACGTAGTAATTTATAATTTAAAGAGAATATGTTATAGAAAATGTTATAACATATAGCTTAAGAGTAAATATTTCAAATAGTGATAAATTAGTTGTTTATTGACGAAACCCATTAGGTGCGATAACATGAAAACAAAAGTCTTCCCTGAAGATGTTAAACTTGATTTATGTTATTTAATTAATCGTAGTAGATTTAAAAGGCAGACAAAAATCAACATCTAAAAAATTTATGTAAAATACATTATGGAAGGTTAAAAAAATAGTCTGTGTAATTTTACGATATTTACTTGGCATCGATCGCCGTTCCTTAGTCTGCAATATTTAAATCAGCTAGAAAACGAGAAGCCAAAATTCGCAAATGTATAGTTCCACTATAACATCCAAGTTATTTTATTTATTAATCCAAGTATTATTTCTTAAAACGACAGACAGTTTATTCGTCTATTTAAAATAGATAAATAGATTCAGAAAAGGCATCCAAACTCACAATGCACTAACTTCATAAAAGTTATTTTTGGTATGAAAAAAAATACGAAGCGGTCGAAGTAGCAAAGAAAGCTATGTAGTATGGCATAGTGTCGATGTGATTTTGCACAGGGACTATCATTAATTATGCTGCAAGTGGGCACAATCAATTGATAAAGTAAGTTTTCCGAGCTTTAATCACTAAAGTCTTTCAGGTCTCTAATGATGATCGATGACGATCATATTAAAGAAAATATCACGAAGCTGCATTATTAAATCAAAGCTTTAATAACTTTCCTAATAACGTGCCTACTGGGAATAAGATAGAAATATATCGTTACGTTGGTAGAATAGTAAAGTCCTGTCAAGTTGATGACATTATAATGTCTAGTCTATAATAATAAAATTAATTTATAAATATAATAAAATTGTAACTAAGCCGGAATCTGTACATTAAATATTTTTTGGAAAATCTAATTGAAATAGACATTATTATCGATACAGAGACTGAATCTATAGTTTTTAGAACTTTTGTTTGTTTGTCTATCCGTCTATCTGTGAGCGCATCACGGAAAACCAATGTAGGGATTTTGATGAAATTTGCTTTAATGATAGCTTGTTGAGCCGGGTAAACATATAGGATACTTTTAACTATGGGTAAATATCTCATCTCTGAGAAATCTATATTAATCGTCAAATAGCAAATAGGGACAAACCCGAGCAGAGCGAGGGTCAGTCGCTAGTTTTTAATATTATACTTATTTGAATCTAAAGCTATTTTGACCGTTTTACTAGATAATCCCGACTTAAAATTAAATTTAAAAAAAATTATAAAATTTAAAAAAATAATACTTTCTTAGATTTACGCGAATATTTGACATTTTAAATAATTCTATCTTTTCGGACTTTTCGCAGATTTATTTAGATTTTTGGTTACCGACGTTTCGAATGCTTTACAGCATTCATGGTCACGGGAGAGACTTAGGTGTTAGATGTCTCGAAGGTATAGTTGTTACAGACAGCCTATCCACAAATAACAAAATGAAAAATTGCATATAAATATTATAATTTTAAAAATATTAATTAGTAATCTATATTTAGTGTTGCCATTATTATATTTATATCCATAAAGAAAAAATATAAAATATAATATTAATTATTTAAACCATATAATTGTTCTATGTGTAATTTAAAAAAGTTAAAATTAATTAAGGATAATAATTTTAATTTAGTTTGCTATTATTTAAAAAGACAAATTACTAAGCAACAATATTACTATATACTTTTACAAATGGAAAATATTAATCTGATACGCTGTCATTTTTCCACTCAGTAAGAACTTTCATAACATTCGAAACGTCGCGTTGGGAACCAAAAATCCAAATAAATCCGCGAAAAGATCCGAAAAGATAGTTTTATTTGAAATGTTAAAAAAATATTTGATTTTATTTTTAATAAAAATGTTATTATTATTATACGTAATTCTAGTAAATTTTGCTTCTAATTTTTAGGGGACTAGTAACTTTAGCTGAGCGACCTTACAAACATTACATAATGAAATCAATTAATTCAGAAAATAAATCAAGAAGACAAAGACAAGACAAAAATTTTAGTTATTTCAATCATTGACGATGTCGTCTCAGTCAAGGTTATCTTTGAATTTCTGGCATAGTTTCATCTTTTTTAAAGAGTTATTAAAAGTTAAAAAAGTAGTTGATTTCTTAAAAAGTTCACTTATTTTTTATTTAAGCCTCTAGTAAATGATATACCTATTAAATCAGCAAATAATTAAGATATTGAGCACAAGATTTAGATTGTTAACCTTCGACGGAAAAACGACGGGATGTTATAAGTTTGACGAGTCTGTGTGTGTGTCTGTCTGTGGCATAGTACCTCCCGAACGGATGAACCGATTTTGATTTAATTTTTTTTTGTTTGAAGGAATTAGTCGGGAGTGTTCTTAGCTATAAGATGGCCACCGCCACAAAATGACGGATTACATATTTTTTCACAACTCCCTCAATTATAAATTAAAATAGATAAATTTCAAATCCAAGATGGTTGCCAAAATGACGAATTACATATTTTGTATTGAGGTTCTTTTAATTTTTAATTTAATTTTGATTAAATATTTTACTAGATTCTTACAGAAAAGTATAATGGACATCTGCCATCTATCTGGTCATTAAAAATAAAATCAAACATAGTAAATGTAAAGACAAGAGCGTAATTTAAGTACTCAAATCAAAGGTTTATTATATTTTTAGACTTTAGTAGATGCACATTTTATGTATAAACGCCCAATGCGCAATTCAATAGCCCTAGTTTTCATAAACAACGCCTTGTCAGTACTAACCAGAACGGCGATGGTAGATTAGCTATTAGCTAAATAACAGATTCTTTCATAATTTATTTAATGTTTGCGTTCTACATCTAACTGTAAATGAGCATCCGTTTAATTACAATTTTTGTAAACAAACACATTAGTGATTTCATTTTGTTTCATTCAAATAGGCATCAAAAGATTCGCTCGCCAGACATAATCAAAGGTAAAATGACATTTGTGGTCTAATCTTATCATTATTTCTATAATAATACTAGCGGCTCACCCTCGCTTCGCTCGGGTTCGTCACGAGGTACGTTTTAAATAGATATAAATAGTTATTAGCCAGCATTAGCCATATAATTTTTTTTTGTTAATAATATTGACAAATATTGACATTCATATTGATACGATTCTAACGTCACTCAATTGCCATCAATGTTTTGCCTTCCCGGAACCTCTCCACTAACACTTAAACTTTATGTTATGGTATTAAAGTTCAAATTGACTTTTAAGTATTATTACGAATCTTTTGTATGGGAGTATAAAAAAGTGTTGTTTTTAGACTTTTTCAGGCAATTTTTTAAATTTTTCTCTCCGTAAGAATCATCCTCGTACTTCAAGGAATATTCTAAAAAAAGAATTAGCGAAATCGGTTCAGCTGCTCTCGAGATTTGCGCTTACCCACACATTCAGCGATTCATTTTTATATTATAAGATTCTCTTTTAATATTTATATATAAATTAAGAATAAATAAATGTACAAAATAAAGTTTAAATTTATTTATTATTATTAATAAATAATAAATTATACTACATTGTTACTAAAGTTATTAAAACTAAACTTAATCACTGTGCCGTGTTACAAATAACTTTATATTATATTTAGAATCAAGTTAACAATGCTCACAATTATATTTTACTATTTTAAGTTATTGATTATATGTTAAGTAAAAGAAATATTAAAATTGCGAATGTATTAGGTAATTTAAAATCTTGTAATTGTTGGATGAAACTATATAGGATTGCCTCTTTGCAAAGCGTTGGAAGCAAAATGAATAATTAGAAAAGTTCTCTATAAGTAAATTTCAAATTTGAATAACTGTTCTGTCTGAATGGCATAGTAAAAAATGAGACTTTAACATGTTTAGATAGTACCGCGTCAATATTTACGAAATCTTGGTCATAACATTTCTTTTTCTTTGATAATTTGGTTCAATCTAAGATCTACTTTCTTATATTTTTCTTATTTAAGTAGCAATTAATTCACATCATGCACTTTTATAAACATTTATTTATCATAAATTAAATCTTTTAAAAACCAAATGAAAATATGCGCGATATTGTTGCGAAGCATCTAAATTTTCCAGGGAAGTGGCTCACACTACTAGCACTTTCTTGACACGCGGAGGCCACAAGAATTGACAAATATATATCAGTTTTCTTGGCATACGAGAACATTGCATATGGGCAAGAGTATGCTTTTAATAAGACAGAAAAACAAACAGATCATAATGGATTATTACTACAAGAAAAATAGCTTTTAATTTAAAAAGTATGGCTAAAGAGTATAGATATGTGTTACTAAAATTCTATATTAATTCGAAATATTTTATAGTACGTTTAAGATAAGTATTCTAAATGTAGGGCAAGTCCTGCCATCGCAGCTATGTAAATTGTAGGTGCGCAATGAAGTGTTATGAATGAAACCGTTGGAGCGCACGCAGCATCCACACATCAAGCGTTAATGGAGTCGGCCGTACAGATAGATTATATTTCTAATTAAAAAAAGCAGTCATGAGCACTGCTGACATGAGTGGAAACTTAAAACTATAAACAAACATTTTTGGATAGGTATTCAAATAAAAACCAAGGTCATGTTCAATACACATGTAACACCGGGACCGATTGCTCTCAATGGAACAACTCTCGAAGTAGTACAAGACTACATCTACCTTGGGCAATTACTGCAAGTCAGTAAAAACTACTTCGAGAAAAAAGCTCAAAGAAGAATACAGCTGGGATGGGCAGCATTCAATAAACTTCGTCGGGTCTTTTCGTCGCCAATACCACAAAGCTTAAAGACAAAGGTCTTTAGCGAGTGCGTCCTACCTGTTATGACATACGGAGCCGAGACGTGGACACTGACGGTGCGATTGG